AATCTTCTGTTTTTGTCTGTGATACAAAGACAAATTAATCACAATTCTCCGAATTAAATGTGCGAGTTTTCGGCGATTTGAAGAATAAATATATACAAAATTTGAAACTCGATTTAATACAATTTTAATTTAGTTTAGTTTTACAATCGTTTATCAGTTACAAGAGACTCCAATAGAACTCAGTTCTGAAAGAAATAAGTTCTGTTTGAATAAATTATTGAGTAACAGTTACCAGATACAGTTGATGTTAATGGAGAGGAGTACAGTGGTCAGTAATATTGACCTTCATTCTTATCGTGTGAAAGTTATTATTCTTTACTCGATGAGAACAAGAAATAATAACATCCTCACACAGTGTGGACTGAGTTGTGTTGCCTATTGTGCCTTAACTCTGTCTTTGTCGAAGGAGACCGACCACCTACCGAAACCAATCGTAATATCTTCTTTTGATTCTTTCAGAAATGAGTCTCGAGTAACTGATAAACGGTTGTAAAACTAAACTAAATTAAAATTGTATCAAGTCGAGTTTCACATTTCATATATACTTTTTTGATATATACAATAATGGTTGCAATTGTGCATACACTCACTCCTATATTAAATATTTGAGAAGAGAAAAAATATGAAAGAAAACTGGTGAAAACATTTTTCGAATCAACTATTAGACAGAGCGTGAAAAACTAAATAACTTAAATATGGTTTGAATAAAAAATATGATATGTTTCTGAGAAAGCTTTTTCAAATACTAAGAGTGAAGATTAAAATGCATAATTTTGATTACTATTTTTATTTTAAAAAAGAAAAAGTACAAATGAAAATTATAAAATTAAAATATTGATATGATAATCTTATAGGAAAACACTACAAAATGAATCAACTTGGACAAGATCAAATTACAGATTTATTCACAATATGTTTAGATACGATTGAAATTTAGATAAAAAGAAAAGTTATATACGATCCAAGCTAAAAGATATCAATTAGTGTATGGGAATTTATCCATTTGAATAATATAGTTAGATAGAAGGAAGAGTGAAGTTCTTAATACCTGTTATTGTTGTAGTGTTTCTAATAATTGTGTTCATTAAATTTTTGTTGATTTTACCGATGATTTCAATATTTTTGATGATTTAATCAGCAATTGTAAGTTTTCTTTGTAAGCAAAGATCTTAGATGTTCTCGACTGAATAAACCATAGTATTTGTAATTCTCTTTTTCATTTGATTTTCTTTTCCAAAACATTTTGATGTTTAAATTGACTTTCACAATTTGTTACTATTGCTATTGTTATATTATTCTGTTAAAATCTATATTTCATATATTGAATCGTAAATCCATTTTATAATTGAAAAATAATCGATCACGATAGTAAACTAATTGATTTTATTTCATCATTTATTCCAAACTTGTTTATACTAGTCAATAAATTGACAACAACAACAACAATAACAAATATCATTTACAAAATTTGATATTAATTAGTAATTAAAACATTATTCTTTCACAATTTCATAAATATTTTATTTTATCTAGTTAATGGTTCAACAAAACACTACCTATTGAAAAAATAGGATTGTATTTTTTTGAATAACTAAAAAAATTTTAAATTTTGCCATTGATTGTATGAAATGGACAATATCATACTTTTTTTTAATACAGTCAACTATTCAAATCAATTATGTTATATTAATTAACGAATAAAACTTTCTTAATGTTTATAACCTAGAAAGAATAGATAAAATTCTAAAACACTTGAATAGTGTGCAGTTCAACTAGTTGCTCTCTCTCTCTCTTCAAGTTGCCTATTCTTTGATAAATGTGATTTATCCATCTGTCTAAAAAAAAAAAATTTTATGACTTTTTTTTTTCATAAACGTTGATAGTATTTCGTTCAATTATGAACCGTACTCAAACTTGTCTATATCTGATTTAATTTCGATTAATAATGCAACAAACTGTTGTCACATATGTATTACAATTTTCTTCTTCTTCAGAGATAAATGTCATTTATGTAATGATGTTGTATGTTATTCTCTTTGTTAAAAAAAAAATCATTTTCCTTATCTCAAGTTTCAATTCAGAGACCATTGACATTTAACTATGATTAAAAAGCACACTAATTTAATTATTTTTTAACAGATCTTTTAACCCTGATCTGTCCATCTGGAATCCATGCGGATCCCAGACGAAAACGTGTACTTTGAAGATATGTCTTACTGCTCTGCCGGATAACTAATGGGTGGATGCAGTCAGTTCATATTGATAGTACATCCTATTGTCATTCAATGGAATATAAATTGAAAGGGTAAAATCTAACCGTTGTGTTCAGGCAGCATCCAAATGCAAACGGTAGAATTTGAACATATCATAGGTGGTCGGATAAGGGTTAACGATATCTCTCCCTTCTTTTCGGACCTCTACTTAGACATCCAAACAAAACAAAAATCAGACCTTATCTTTTCAGGAAATGTTTTTTTTTATTTTTCATCTCTAACTCACTGTTAATGAGTTTTTTCAGAAAACTCATTTCTTCAGTTGATACATGAAGATCTCCGATAATTTCTTTCGATAGAGCTAAACATTTTATCAAAGATACTTAGGAATGTTTTCTAAATATATTTTTTATGATTTTTTTTTATTTATTATCGTTACCTCTTTGTTTTATAACGATAATAATAAAATAACCCTCTTATGGAGCCGCCTGTCAGACGTCTCTTTCGTTAACGATCAGTATGATCTCGATCAACCTTTTATCAAATGTTGACCAAGTTAAACTATAGTGATGAAATGGTTTTTTGGCTTTATCTGTTACTGTCCCCGAGATGTCGCTATAACAAGGACCAAAAGCTCTTCGTAGCTGCAGGATTTCTCCGACTACGTAAATGTTGAAGAGTTCGGATTGATCTTAAATTGAAGCTAACAATTATGGCTACAATGTACAAAGGTCTGATTTCAAAATTTACGTTCTGTACGGTTTTAGCATTTAACACAAAAAATTTGAAAAATCTAAGTAAATTTTTCAGAAACTTTTCTCTGTATCAAACACTAGATCTAAGATCAAAAATCGAACACCCGTATATGGTAACCATAATTGTTAGCTTCAATTTAAGATCAAATCGAACTCTTCAACATTTACGTAGTCGAAGAAATCCTGCAACTACAAAATATCGCATATAGAAAAAGCCTTCACACATTCCTATAGTTTTCCGACCTTGAGAAACCGAATGAGCCTAATGCGCACACATATGTAGAGATTTTTTTGATAAAATATCGATGTTTTGCTTAACATCTTTTCTTTTTAAGTTTCTAAAACCTTTTTGAAGAAAAAAAACATATTTCTTAGAGAAAATATTAGAAAATTGAGAAAGGCGTATCACTTTGAAGAGGACAACTGATCTTAGTACACTATTTATATAAAAAAAGATTTTAAGTGTTAGAAAAAGCTGAAAATATTGTTTCATCACAGCTTTTTATGAAAGTTTATCAATATTACATTGTTTTAAGTCATTGAACTGGGACACGTTCTGATTTTATAATTCAATCTTGACTACATATTACTACGTACTTGATATACAATATATCATAATGACAGGATCATTGAATTAAACATATATAGAGTTATATAGTAAAAATTCGAGAAGGAAAAGTGAGAAACGAAATAAAATCTATTTTCTTAGATATTTGTAGTAAAAATTCGGGCGTGATTACAGTATGTTTTCGAGGCGACGTGACCGACTTGGAGCCACCAATGTTTCGAACATGACAGATAATATTAGTCAGGTCATCTATGCTCAACTTAAAATCAAAAATTTTATCAAAAAAAAAAAAAAAGAGGTAATACCTTTAGAAGAAAATGTTTGCTTTTAATCATAGCCGACAAAGACAAAAAAATTTTCTTTTGCTTAGCATACCTCACATATTTCTATTCCATAAGAGTTTCTTACTTTTTATGTATTAATCACTCACGATCAAAAAAACAGGTCTCTTCTATCATGAGAAATAAAAAACATATCTCAAAAATACTTTTTTTTCTGTTCTGTTCTGTTCAAATTACAGGTTGACATAACTGTAAAGTAGGCGTAATGAGCAACAAATAAAAATATGAAAAATATATTTTTAAGACAAAATACAAAGCAAACAACTACAACCAACTTTATTCTGTCCTTGAGCCCTCACACGCATTCCATCACTTTTTCTCGTTTTAGTTTTCTAACATATCCTGTTTCTTATGCCTATAATCCATTTAAAATAAATGATGACTACTATTATTTAAATAGAATTTGACATTTTTGTAATATATTAAAATTCGAACTATAATCAACTAAAATTTCATCCATAAAATAAAATTTTCTAAATATAGATTTGTATACGATTGATGGGAATGTCAAAGTCATATTTAAAAAACACAATAACGAGTGATTATATAGTTGAAAAGTTGATAAAACAAAAAAAGATTCAGTATATATCGATCTACATTATCATATTCATCGAGATTATTTTTATTCATAAACAAATTGTGATAATAGCGTAAAAACCGCATTGATTTTTTTCCAGCAGTCTTTTACACATATTACTTATCAGTGTCTTTTTTTCAGTATTTAGATTGCATTAGTATGTTAAATAGTTAGTTGAATTGTTAAGAGAGTACCTTGTTCACTCAAAAAAAAAACGATTCAGTTCAATATGATGATCAAAAGAAAACAGACGTATTAGATTTTCTTTTTTTGTTATTCTATATAAACTATTCGTTCAAATACAAATGGAAAGATCAAAAACAAAACATTAATTGAAAAATTTGTTGCTGTTCTCTCGATCTGTATATTAAATAAAAGTGAAAAAGACGAAAAAAAAACCAAAAAAATTTAGAAATACAATCACAATCTCAATGAAATATACTATGTAAAAAACAAGTTTAGAAAAAAGTGTGTATGTTCACAAAAAAAAGGACGGGTTGCTGCCCTATATAAAAACAGTGATCAGTTCGGATATAATTCGTATTCTTACCGTGAATCAGTTTTACTTCCCGGAAACTCTTCGTTTTTCATTAATTTATACATTAATTGTCCCATTTTCGCTGGTGAACTACTCACAGTAGCATTGGCTTCCTTCAATGCACTAATTTTACCTTCAGCTCCACCTGATTTGCCAGAAATAATTGCACCAGCATGACCCATACGACGACCAGGAGGTGCTGTGACACCGGCAATAAATGCCACAATGGGTTTTGCATGAGTTCCAGTGTTATGTTTTAATAAATATTCGGCCGCTAATTCTTCAGCATTGCCACCAATTTCACCAATTAAAATAATACCTGAAAGTAGTTTAAAGATAAAAATAATACAAACGTACCAATGACGTCCGTACCTTGTGTTTGTTTATCTTTGAGGAATATGTCAAGACAATCGATAAAATCTGTGCCGTTAAACGGGTCACCACCAATACCGACACATAATGATTGTCCGAGGCCAACTTGAGTCGTTTGATGAACAGCTTCGTATGTAAGAGTACCACTACGAGACACAATACCAATGTTTCCAGGACGATGAATATGACCAGGCATTATACCAATTTTAGATTTACCAGGAGCTAGAAACACAATATCAAAAACTTTTAATAGTGATTAGATAAATACTTAAGATCATACCAATAACTCCCGGACAATTGGGTCCAAGTAATCTTGATTTATCTTGTCGAACTAATTGATTTTTCACTTTAACCATATCATGCTGTGGAATACCTTCGGTAATACATACAATTAATGGTATTCCAGCATCGATTGCTTCTAGAATTGCTTCGGCAGCTCCCGGTGGTGGTACATATATGACAGTTGCCGTTGCACCCGTTTCTTTCATGGCATCGCCAACATTTTTAAATACGGGTAAACCTAAATGTTTTGTACCAGCTTTTTTCGGCGATACACCACCTACTAATTTTGTTCCATAATCGATTGCTTGTTGACTATGAAATGTTCCTTGTTTTCCAGTGAAACCTTGACAAATAACACGTGTTTGATCATTAATATAAAGATTTTTACGTGTTTTTGCATAAATCTGGGGGTCGACAGAAGAATGGGACTGAGTGGCTGTTTGTTGTTGTTGAAATAGCGCTGATGTTGTATGAAGATGACGACAAGGAACGGTGGCAATATACGTCAAAAAACGTTTTGATAACATGTTTACACTGTTCCTTTAGCACTACGTCTGAAATAAAGAAAAAATGTCACATTTATCGTATGAGAGATTTTGAATAATTGAACACTTTTGTCTGTCAATATTAGAGACTGCTTTTGCTCCGTGTAGTAAAAGGATAAAACAGTTTATCGTTGTATATTTTAATTTTGATTGCTTGACTAGAATCAACACACACATTAAAAAAAATTCACAGAATATTTCTAATAGTTACAAAAAAAAAGGTAAAAATAAAGCAACCATAGCGCAAAATTAATTAGCACATAAATGACTTTAAATCAGTTTTTATAAGTCTAATCGCTGACCTGAACTTTTAAGGCCCAATTGTGCTTCTTTATCGGTCAGTGGTACATACATCACACCCATAGCTGAACGTGACTTCACTTTTCCTCCTTCTTGTTTCTCATAAACCATCATCTGTTGAGTATAACTTCCTACTGGTACCACTAGACGGCCACCAATATTGAGTTGATTAATTAATGCATGAGGAGTATCAGGAGCAGCTGCTCCAACATGAATAGCATCATAGGGTGCTTCATTTTCATATCCTTTTCTTCCATCACCTTCGACAATTTCCACTATTTTATTTTCCAGTAATTGTTTATGATGTTTTTTTATATTATTTAAAGATTTTTTAACTAAATCTGGTATATGTTCAATGCCTACTACCTTTCCCACTCGTCCTTTCTCATCTGTACCTTGTATCATCAAACCCATACAAGCTGTCAAGTATCCACTTCCACTACCAACATCCAAAACTTTTGCACCAGGTATAAGTTTATCTTTTAACATGTCTAGAGCGTATGCATGCATATGTGGAGCACTAATTGTTACCTAACACAAAAGTGACAAAATAAAATATATTCAGAAGGATTTTAGAAAAAAGTTAATGATAATATTCATAGAAAACCTTTTTTGAAATTTTTTATCTTCTATTGTATGTTCCATATCACTCCTGTTTTCCATCAATATTATTTAAAGAGTCTAAAAATCTTACGGATGATCCAATTGATTGTGGTGAATCCATGTAGGGATTATCATCAATAAAATCACCTCGATCTACTTTCAACATAGTTTCTTTAATACGCTCATCTTTAATAATATCATTATTTACTAAATTTGAGATTAGATGTTGATGCGTTAGTCCAGAAGAACGCCACGCCATTAGAGAATAAAATGTACAAGTTGTAAATAATAACGGACGAAATAACGAGTGAAATGATGGGATTAAATGAAGTTTAAACAAAATTATATTGGAAGATGAACGCATTCACACACACCTTGTACAAACAAAATGAAATCTAAAATAAAACAATAACGAAAAAAACAAAATGTCAATAACAAACATTCTTGATCAAATCTGTTGATTCTATTTTTCATTTAAATGTGCATGTTAAAATCAAAATCGTTGTTATTCTAACTTTGTTTAACATAATTAAGAGTAATTCTTAATTATGTTAAACAAAGTTAAGGATATCTCAATCGCAATTGCACTAAAATTCGTATTTCTATTGTTGCCCTTTAATAGTAAGAATGTTTCAAGAAATGATTATACAAAAATGATGTAGTGTACTTTATCTCTATAATAAGTTATAATCATTTGAAAATACTTATAGTAGAGATTCTCAATGTATACTTAATGTGATATAATTTGCGGTAAGAATAAGTGTATCTTTATTTTATCTTCATATATCTAACAAAACACAAGTGGAAAATAAAATCCAACAATAGATATTACAAATGATAGTAGATAATGAGTGAGCATATTCATCTTGAAGATTAACTCTAATAAAATCATAACTAGCGCATCTAACAAAAATAGCACCATTCTAACTCAAAATAATAACAACAACAACAAAACAATAACGTTTAGAGCAAATGTGAATTGCGTATAATTCAACTATGAGAGTTTCTATTTAAAATTAAATTAGCGGAAAATAGAGTGGACATATGTCTCACCATGTCTCTCTCTCTCTCTTTCTTCCTGTACTATCGATTGCTGGGAAAGAACAAAACAAAAAGAAAACAAACAAAAAAACAAAAACAAAAAAATGAAAAACAAAATTAATAGTGCAATTGTAACTATTAAACAAAATAAATAACAACAAAAAGTTACTTAAGATACAATACATGCATTGTTCGCTTCTTTTCTTTTTATACAATAAGACCCGATATCTTTGCATAGAAGAAAATAATAGACTTAATTCTGACATAAACAGAAAAAAGTTTAAACAATAAATACGTACACATTTGTTTTTTCATTCATTAATGGAAAAATAGTAAGTGTAGTAGGAAACAGTCTAAACTAAGAAGGAAAATATTTTTCACTTTAGAATAAACAACATAAATCTCAATTTGAAAGTTATTAATATTTACAAATTTGTGTATATAGTGGATGATTCTCTCTCTAAACATAATTTAAACAAAAATATCTCACGGCTCATCTTTTATCGACACAAATTGAAGATGTTTTGTATAGTTTTGAGCTTGTATATTCATATACATTATTTTAAAAGCTTCTAATTATCATACATCATATGATGTCGTTAAATTAAAAACAAAAAAAAGAAGAATAGAAAAATTCACCAATTTACACTCTATACAAAAAGAATTGATAACAACAATATCAGTTAAAAAACAAAAATAAATTTAACATGCAAAAAATATAGTTTTCAAAGAAAAAGAAGAAAACTGATTCATCTGTGTGTATCGAAAAATGTCACCTCTATTTTTGTCCATACTATCATTGTTATAATAATCTTGCTTAATTCATTAATAAACCAATTAACTAATTATTCAATTAGTTTAGGTTTTTCACTGCTTTTTTCCAAAACAAATGCTCATCCTTTATTTTTACAATGTAAAATATATACATTTCTTAGCAAGAATCTTTCTATCTTCTAGTGAATAATTCAACGAATGGAATAACTAATTTGAATTTTGTAACAATAATTAGTTACATATTTTCATCTTTTTGTTACTCGTCTAATATCAGTAATAAATACTTCAAATTTTTCTAGAAAATTTGTTTTTGTTTTTCTATTATATTGTTGAATAGGAATACCATTTACAAATTTATCAAAAATACTCGTTAGTTGTTCATTATTTTGATACTGTTCTTTAATATTCATACATAATCTTAAAAATTCTTGTGGATAAGCACATAGTAAAGCAAATAATGCTGAACCATATGTTTCAAATAAATCCAATGTTGGAGAATTTGTTTGTAGTACTTGATCAATTAAATAATCTAAAAAAAACGAATAATATGAATAATATTAACTAAATTTGATAAATTATATTTACCTAAGAACAATTGTAATTGAGCTGATTTTTCATCTTGAAGATGTTGTTGTGCAACATATAAAGCTAAACCATGCACTGTTTCTAAACACATTTTACATATTTCATTACCATATTGATCAATACCTGTTTTAATTGTTTGTAAAAATGGTATAAAAAAGTCTAAATTTAAAAGACGAAATATTGAATCTGAATGTTGTTCACACAATGTTGATATCAATTTATAATAACGTAAACTAATTGATGGGATTTTTAATAAATGATCATTTTGAATAAATGGAAAACATGTCACTAGACCAAACAAAACAACATCTCCAACATTATCTGTTTGAATATGATGACTACTAGAAAAACAAAATATCGAATGATTTATATTTACAGATGTGCATGCCTCACCAAAGATGAAGACAATGGTTTCAAACAGACTATTTTTCTTTGTTTGTTCGCAACACAGAGTATACTAATTTTTTTTTAAATCCATAATAAACAATTTTGTTTATTTTATTCTTTTTGTTGATATGCTATTACACTGTGGAAGACGATAATCTCTGTGAAGTTAAAAGAATAATTTTCTCTACTAGATTAGGCTGTGTTAGGCACTGAATTATAATCTGATACGATCAATAGAGTCCGTTGAGTTAGTTGTACTAACATCGAATGATATTTGGATCGTTAAATGAATATTTAATAACGGCTAATAGCTACCAACGCTCATAGATGACACGAACTGAAGGCTACATGACTTTCAATGTGGAATTTAGTTTAGATTTACCAAATTATAATGTTAAAGAGATGTTGACGTCAACCAGGTTCAGGTCCGTAGTCAGGGGGAGTGTCCACTGTGCCAGGACACATCCCTTGTAATTTTGTTATAATTTTGCTATAAACTCCGACTGAAGAAAAAGTTTCATGATGGGTTGTAACTTTAGACAGAATAGTTGTCAACTTCTGACGTTGTGAGTGATGATACGCATAGCTCACCTTCAAACCGGGGTGAAGACCCTTTTGCGTCCTGTTAGTTTTCTGGATCGGTCTCTGTCGGACAGACGGATATATCGGAATTCGAACCAGTACAGCAAAGAAACAAAATGCAAGAGAACCGATATATCGATTTAGATCTATAGTGCACCCCTCTTAGCAAAATCCTGGCTACAGAGCTGACCAGGTTGTGGCTATTAATAGTAGTTATTAAGTATCCGTCCAAATATCATTCGATGTTAGTATAACTAACTCAACGGACTCTATATCTATTGATCATATCAGATTATAATTCGGGACTATGATTGAACATTAACGTATTTTAAAAACATCTATTTCTATTTGTCGCCGTATCCAAGATGGAAAAAATTCTTAAAGCCTTTTACCACAGCCGAATTTTTTGTTATCGGTGCACATGTGAGATTACAGTAGTAAATTAACGCTTACGATGTGGACGACTCTCCATCTTGATATACTACTGTTGATTTATCATTTGAAAAATCAATGAAATCTTTTGCTAATAAATGATTTAAACATGTTAATAACGTGTAAATGTGTTGATTATAATCTTCATCTGAGTTAACTTCTGATGATTTTTTTCCATGATTACATTTGGAAAATAGTTGAATAATTTTTAACATAAACGAATAGAAAATTTTGGAATGAGTTAAATTTAGATATACAAGAATATTTTCCGAATAGACATTAAATAAATCTAGAACAATTTGTATAATATCACTATATGAATGATAAAAATCAAATAATTCACAAACATCTTCTAATGTTGATAATGAACGTTCAAATAAATAAGAGGATTGTGATGAACGTGAACCACCTTCAATAAGACCACAGTAAGAATTTAATAGGGATGATACTTGACTTAACATTGTTTCACTAAAAAATGATTCCAAAGCTGAACAACAATGAGATAATAATACACTTTTAGAATCATCAGGTAATACTAAAACGAACAAGAGAACAAAGAACTATGACAATAATATCAGTACACATTTTTCCAGTTTAAATTCGAAGTTAAAATGAAGAGTTTTTCTTTTTAAGAGGATTTTTTCTTTCCTTTATTTACTAACCTGTTTGTTGTACATGTTGATTTTGTTTAACTTTAAATTCATAATTCATTTGTTCAAGAAGCGTTTTTATTGTTGTTGTTATCGAATTTAAACGTTGTTGTAATACAGTCAATATAGATCGATCAAAACGCACTTTATCTTCATCATTCGATGAATTAAGACATGCTGTTGTTATTCCTTTTAATAGCTGACGTTTAATTTCTTCAGATATGAGTTGAAGTGGCATGACATTTGATACAACTTGATCACATAATGACCAGAATAGATCAGAACGAATTAAAATATTAGATGAATCTTTCCTGAGGGATAATGTCACAAATAAATCAGCTAAAATGAAAAAGAGGAAAGTAGAGAAATAACATCAATTAACAAGTAGCTAAGATGTTTACCTGTTTCTTTGATAACATTAATTTCTGATGTCCACATGTGTAGATTTGAAACTACTTTTGATAAAAACTCTTTTGTTAAAAACTCTAACACTTCACTTCCTTTCCCAAGTGTCAGTGATAATGCTTGACTAACTAAAAGACAAAAATGGTATTAAGAATAAAAACATATTCATTTAGTTTCTGCCCACCTTGTTTATAATTATCTGCATTAAATCCTAAATAGTTTGCTGCCAAACGTTTAATAAACCAAGTTAAACTAATCGCTACTTGAACACTGACATGATCAAATAGACCAATACGTGATAAATAACGTTCAATTTCAGATAATTTTAATACAGTAACAACACTAAAATAGAGAAGATCATAAAAAACATATTATTAAAACATCCTTGTTTACATACCATTGTGTAACGGGATTCACATCTTGCATAGCTTCCGTTGATAAATCGATAGATTTGCTTAATACTAACTGTGATATTTGACAACATTTTTCTAGATTACAATATTTAACTTGAGAATAACTAAAATTCATTATAGCTTCAGGTATTGTGGCACATTCTGAATCTGAATCCAAATATTCTTCAGTTAAAACATGACCACATATCAGTAGTAACCAATGTAAATCATCATTAATTTTATCTAAATCACGAACATTAACTGTCGTTGATGTTGTTGTTAACATTTCCATAGTAGTACATAATTTTTGAGTACGATCAAGAAGAAGACGTGTTAATAAGGGTAGAGCATGATCTATAATATGACGACCAAATAAACCAATTGAAATTAATTGTTCACTAAAATAATGAGCAATAGCATGAATATGGAAGAGCATATTTAGGAATTTAATAGTTTTAATTTGAAAAATTACGTAGAACTATAGTAAATAGTAGATTAATTGGTTTTCTAATTAGTACACGACTTTTTATTTAACTATACAGAGTATTAACATAATTTTAATTATTCACTCTACTGCATTCTCTCAGTTAATGTATTATTCTCTTTTATAGAAGATTTGTCAAAGAAAATACACTTTATCCTGGCCGATTGGCGCCAAAAACTCACCTAAATAACTCTCTGTCATCATCTTCATTGTTTTCATCTTCATCTTGTTCGTGTTCATTTACTATATTATTTGATGATGAATGTAAATGACTGTTCAAATAAGAATCAAATATTTCTATAGCTAACGTTCTTAAATTTTCAAATCGTCCAAAATCAATTCCGGATAATAGTCTCGCCCATGCTTGTAGAATACGATCGAATGCTTCTTTTGATATAGCTGGATCATAATTAACTTGTTGATGAGATGTTGTACAACGACATAGAACAATAGTAATATGTGCCATTAATCTTAAAAATTCATGACATAAATCATTTGACATTGAACAAAAACCTTTGACAGAAAAAAGAGTGATTAAATTGGAAATTATTGAAGCTAAATCAAAACATTCTGATAAATTATCAAAAGTAGATGTGGATGGTGGAAATGTTTCGACAAAATGGGCACAAAATGTTGTCAAATATTGAAGACGGCATTGTTCGTCGGACATTAGCGGACCATTTAAACATGCCAGTTGAGATAATGAACGTAAGATTTGACTGCGTAATGAATAACACAGCTTCACATTTGCAATCCTCTAAAAACAACAAGATGATAAAGATGTTTTAAAGAAATGTTGAACTTACAAGATGTTGTTGCTGTTTTATAGTTTTGTAAACATGAAAAAAAAATTCAATTAATCGTTGATCGTACACCAATTGTTTCCATGTTTGTGGTGGTCGAAAATCACTTGTTTCAGCGTGTGTAAATGTGATTAAATGGTGACGATGACGCGTAGTTGTAGCAGGAAGAGAAAAATTCCACAATAAAATCTTTTCGATTGAATTCAATGTTAGTTCTAACAACTTTAAACAATTTTCATCATTTTGAAGAAATAATTGTAGTTTATTTAGTAATAGTTCAAATATATTTTTTAATTCATTTGATTCAAAATCTTTTTTCACTGAATAACGTTGATCGAGTGTTAAACCAGCTTCATTACCTAAATGAAAAAGTCAGGAGTACTACTTACAGAGATATTCAACGATAAGATGTTCATCTACTTACCATTACTGCAACTGTATTCATTCAAAAATGTACTCAATAACATTAAGCCAAATTGATATTGTTCATTATCCGGCGATTGAATTAAATTATACAATGCATTTGTTACTGTGTATTCCGTTTGCGGTTGTTTTGATGCTTTTCGTCGTTTATTAATGACTACTAAAATTTGTAGAGCTTGTTCTCGAACGTGAATGGATAACGTCTGATACTGTCCATATACATATTGAAGTAAATATTGTACAACTTGTTCTTTTGTTTCGTCAGATAACACAAGCCATTCTTTGACAATACCTTCACGAAGAGCGGTTAGTGTCTGATATATGACATAGTGTGATTGGGAATGTTCAATCAGATAAGAATATAAATCGAATGAAAAATTAGAACGACGAAATTGTAGAAATATCTTCTCGGCATCACGACGTTGATCTTGAGTAACGGTAGTTTGAGATGAAGAGAGAAAAATGTTGGCCGCAGATTCAAGAGTTTGTCGTAAACTATCCATGAAAATAAACAATATGATCTATATAACAAGAAAAATAATCGGGATTTTTGTTGTATCATCTGCTAAGCTTCGGTTGCATAATCAGTCCTTTCAAAAATACTAGCTCAAGATCAAGGAAAAATGTACTGATATTGTTCAACTTCCGCGATTCATCGGCTCTAACCTTTAACGGTACCAAGATCAAGAAGGTTACACTAAAATTCAACCACAAATAGTGCTAAAATGGCGTACATATGAGAAGGAATTGCTCGAGTGGAGCTTATTTTCTCTTAAAGGACAAAAAGTGACTTTTTTTCAGACACACGTATTATATCATCAAATAAAAACCAATTACTGTTTCTTGTTATCCTGAAAAATTCTTCATTGTGGGGCATAACGTAGAACGACTCGTTCAACATCCTCAGTATGTTTTCGACAGCTTTCCACTTCACAAACACTGAGCAACATTTTAAATGACATCAAATTAAATTTGATGCTTTGGTATGTTCTTTTTATTATATTATATTATACATTAGTTTTGTTGCTTTTTTATTTTTCGAAAAGATCGTCGCCATGATGAAAATCTTTTGGGATATGTCACTGAACCAATGAGGAAAGGGGAAAGCAGACGTCCAGCAACACGCAATGTATGAAGCTTTGCAAAGATCTGCAGTAATAGTAATAAATCTTTTCGAATAATAAATCAAAAGTTTTAGAATAAATGTTACTTTGACAACATAAACACCGAAAAACCCGCGCTGAAGTATTATTCTGAAATCCTCTCTCTTCTACAAATACAACTGCAATTTTATTGATGATACTTTTTAATACACAGCTATGTGATAAGTGATCCATCCGAGGTCGCTCTATGTTTCAGTATACACTGCAAGGTCTTAGTTCAGATTTTCATTGGAAGATAGAACGTACCATAACGGCCGCTATCAGGTCAGTTGTGACTTACAACAGTTAACATATCACTGTCCCGAAATGTTACGGTAAATGTGTAACACTGTCATGCTAAAAATGTGACAGTGCTTGAGTACATTGTCACCCTTTTAGCATGACATTGTTACACATTTATCGTAATATTTCGGGACAGTGGAACACACTGCCCCCAAAATAACACGGATCAAGTGTAAAAGTCTACAGATGAAGTATTTCATATAAACCATATTTGAGAATTTTCACTGCACATGAAGCATGATCATGCTACACGTCATCCGTGGAATTTTACACTTCAAGTGTGGTAGAATACAAAGCATAATTTCTTTACACTTGGAACATGGAAACACTATGAATAAAGTACGGCATCCGCACTTCAAGTGTGAAACAGTTTTGACGTGCCTCAAGCATGTAACTTCCACACTTCAAATGTATACTTTTTTGTTACTAAACTTCAAGCATTAGACAATAGACGCCGTCTTGTTTCTTTTGTTCGATGTTGAAGGCCTGTCTGTTTATCAACTGTTTTTTGTAGTCTGACTTACACCAACTGTTCCAGTAATTTAGGTAAGCGTTTACATTAAAGCGTTTAATGAGTTCTTAAATTATTACAAAATTCGTCGTCGTTTTTATCTAAAGATTTCTTGTCTACGCCTAAGTTAATTTTTCCTTTTTATTTTCTTATACATTTATCGAATAATAAATACTATTTTCTATTTTTCTTTTTGGATTTTTCAGTTTTACTTTTGGACTTTAGTAAGTGAAAAGACCTTACGGTGCCGGAAGCAGGAAAAGTTTGCCAATGATTGATTGATTAATAGGAAACAATAACCATTTAATGACTTCCAAGTACTACTGAATCTGTTCTAAAAAGACGGGTTAACAACAACTGTTTTGAATTATCTGTAAACGAACGTTTTTCTGTGACTTCACTTGTAAAGAATATATCTGTAACTTTTTTGCTTCTAAAACAGTAATATACTAAGTATTGCAAGTTTTCATTTTGATTTATCCTCTTTTTCTTAGAAAGGCTTTTCAATGTAACATTATCTCTTGGCAGTGGGAATATTCTAAGTTAAGGTGTTCAAATTTCACGTTGAAGTGTAGAAATTACTTACTTTGTGTATTTTGCTACTTTAAATATATCACTATAAAAAGGTTATACACTTTAAGCGTCAAAATATATATTAAGATGAACCGTCAGTTGTGGTACGCTCACGCTTTAAAGCGTGGTATTGTTTTCGGATAGTTAACTGGTTCTGTACTTCGAAGCGTCGCTGTATCACACTTGAAGTGTGATTAATTCACGCGTTCAAGTGTAGTATCAGAACGCTCTACTTGTGATATGATGGTAAAACATAGATCCAATAGAATTACAGTACCATACTTGTGTAAAAAGGTAGCCCACATATAGTACGACCAAGGATGAAGTGTGGTCAGGACCGCAAAAGGCGGGAGGATGTGAGAGAGTGCGCCCGCGGGGGGGGGGGGGGGGGGGGGGGGGGGGGGGGGGGGGGGGGGGGGGGGGGGGGGGGGGGTGGGGGTGGGTGGGTGGGGGGGGGGGGGTGGGGGTCCCGTGGCCCCCCCCCCCCCCCCCCCCCCCCCCGAATAATTGTAAAATTTGTTATTATTTTATCCGTTATTCCTCGTACAAAATTGTTATTTTATCAATTTTACATTACCTCAGAGAAATTTTATTTTACACTCCCCCTAATGTTCGGCTTCTATTTGCGGCCCTGAATGTGCTATGCCCCTTTATTGGACGATGTTTATCATGCTTCATCCGAGATGTTTTTACATTTGAAGTGTAAAACTTATTTTACAGTGCGAACAACTAAACATGAAAAGATTTACTGACCGGAAAAATCACATTAAAAGTGTAGTACTATTACAAGAAAAGTGTGATGGATTCATGGAAAATATTTAGGGTTGCACTTTTAACATGAAACTGGCACACTTTTAGTGTGAAATTAGCACGCTATGATAATACAAAAGTTATATTATGTAAACCAAGAAGGTGTTACACTTTTATCAAAAAGTCGCTTTAATTTTTAGTGTGACGACGATATCGCAGTTTTACCATAGAAGAATCTTCCTGCAACGGCACAATGATCTTTGGTTTCAGCCATTGAAAAATCGCCAGAGTGACTAGTATACGCAAAAAATAAGAAAGAAAACATTAGTCTAAAATTCTAAAGAAATTTTTTATTGTAAACTTTATAAAGCATCTGAATATTCCTTACACTTTGGCAAGAGGTAGAGCCTATCGTATCGAAAATCATTATTTAGAGTAGAGTAGTTAATTAGAAGTAATATGAAAGTTACATTATTTAGAGATTAGAAAAATCGATAAAAATGGATGTTTTAATTAAGATATAAACTAAAGATAACGTTATCTGTTAAATTTTATTATTGCATATAGAGACTCTCAATACTTGATATACAGCGTATTCTGGTTCTTCTCTTTTGCATGGACGCAGCGCTCTTACGTCTTTGGCGTTACATTACACATTTCAGAATAAAACGACATAATCTTTAATGTGAACGTCAGGTTACTTACTATGAAAAAGAAGAAAATATGATTAAAAATACTAAAATATATGTGAGAGATCGGACTTCTTGATTAGCCTTACTAGCGTTTCATTGACTAGTGGAAGTATGGAGAAACGGTGCATTTCAATTTTATTAAACGAACAAAAGACTATTAGAGATAAAATTTCCAGCTTTAATATACAGATAAAAAAGTGGGTTAATAGCTGCAGCACAGAGAGGTTGAAGATATGATGTATGTTTTAGATGCCTAAAAAGAAAGAGACTTTATTTCAACGGACGATTCCCGGCAAATACATCCCAAGAGATGGACCACCACCAATCAACGGTACGTATTGTCTTTCTCATTTCCATTTTTCCTATGTTCTTAATCATTCTGTTTTTTCTTTTTTCATTAAGGCGTTCGTTCTGGTGTCGGTAGTGATAATCGATTTAATTCAAGAATGGCTGAACTTTTAGCATCTTCTGCTTACAACAATAATGATTCCAATAGTAACAGTACTAATGACGATATCGAGAATGATTTATCTCCATCTGTGGAACGAACAGTTACTATTTCGAATGACACTGATTCTCCTTCATCTCGTGTTAATTCAAAATTACTCCATCGTCGAATCGTAACAATGTTAGAAACATTAAGACGTCGTGGTGTTCCGGTACCTCCTCGGCAAATGAAAGGGATGGAGAACATGATCGACACAGATTTACAACCCATTACATTTGGACAATTAAAAGCCACAACAGCAAGTAACGGTTCAACTCAAGTAACATCACTTTCAGAAAGACAAACAGATATTGAAAATTCAACGACTTCTTCTTCAATTAATTCTGTTAGTATCTCACGTTCATACGACGATCTTTCCGATGATTTATTTTCTCGATTATCGTTAAATAACAATTCAGATATTAGCCCATCGACAGCAACTACGACCAAAACGACAAATATGACACAATTAAAATCATTATCAATCACTGATAGTTGTCCAGATCTGTCGTCGAAAATAAATCAGAATATCATGCAGCAACAGGAGACAAAAGAAAGACGACCTACACTATATTATTCACCTTCGCTTGAACAGTTATTAAATCAACGTTCATTTCAAAATGAACCAGAAATGTCAACATCTCCACCTCCACCACAGTCACCACCCTCAATTCAACAGACATCTACTCAATCAACTCCCAGTGTCGATGAAATCATAGCAAAATATTACAGTGGTTATCATCAAAACCCAGCATATGTTGATAAGAGTAAAGGTTTTTATATTCATCCGGCGCCAATAAAAAATACTACATATGGCCCATCTTGGCAATTTTCTTCGACATCAAATCAACAACCAACGTCCTACCATGTTCCAACAATAACATCCAATATTCAACATCAAAAACCTACAGTAATGTTTCCACCATCAATGTTACCGAATCAGAATAAAAGCAGACCGCCTCCACCTTCCTATTCTTCCAGTGTTGCACAAACAAATCGAACTAAACCTGTAACAACAGGTTAGCATTTCTTTGAGAATATATATCGTTTAAAATTGTATTCTTTCTCTATTTAGTGCATAACGCTGGATCGCGTTTTATTCATCCATTTCAACAACAATCGACACCGCTGTTATCCACAATTCCTAATTCATCCTCGTTTGATGTTGTAATGTCTCTTAATTCAGCCCAACAACACGTTCCTCTACCTCCTCCTACAATTTCTATTTCTGCTAGTACGAATATTCCACAAACCAATATTACACCGTCAAAACAACTTCATCAATCACAACTTCCTTTAACAACTCAGCAATCCGCTCTTCGTTCACCACCTCCTCGTTATCCGATTGAACGATCTCATTCAGCATTATCAGCCATTAATCGACCAACGTTTACCGTTGCACCGGAAACACAACAAACAACTATGACAGCCACAACAGCAGGAAATCAAAATACAAATTCTGATATACGCTCACAGATATTATACGATAGAGAGTTTTCACGATTTTTATATGGAAAGGATAGTAATCGTCGAGAGAAACGAAAAGCATACAGTGATCCAGTGAAGTACATGATTTTTTTTTATCTTGATAAGATACATTACAAATAAAAGTGTTTTTTGTTTTAGAAAAAGTGTTGAAGAAGCTGGTCGAACAGATTCAATAAGCATAGCTAATCATCCACTTGTAGCCTCGCATCATTTGGGAAAAGAGGATGCTGTTAAAGAAGAAGATGACGATGAAAATGAATATAATGAAAGTGGTATAAACAATGGACAAAATTTAGAACAACAAACACAAAAAAGTAAGTTCTGTTTTATAATCTGACAAAAAGCTTTATGATATCTTTGTTATCTCCGAATTGCCTACAGCAAGTCTATTACTCAAAACAGTTTTCTTTTCGAAATCAAAAAATAAAATAGAGTGATCGTGTAAGTCTTTACTATTCAATTGGCTTTGTATGATATTTTTTACCTGAAGTGCAGAATCTACCCGTGAGATTGGGAAATTTCCCCCGACGGAAAAAGTTTGTCAAAAAATTCTCCAATAGAATTTCTTTTTACAAAATATTTCCAAAAAAGAAATTCCAATTTTTCAAAAAAATTTCTCCCGACGACCGTCGGAGCAAACAGGCAGATTCTGCAGCTGTTTTTTTACAGCTTTTGACCTTAGAGCCGTCAGTTTTTTCTGTTCGGGACACTAATATCCCTATTAAACTCTTGTTATAAGCTATTTACTAAGAGAAGAATAAAATATTTGTTTATGTCCACCAAAAGAGAGAATAGCTCCCCATTACTATTGGTAAGAGCACAAAAAAACTCGCAGATCACGACGTGTTATGTTCACGTTTTAACTTCTTACTTTTTGTCTTTAGATAGTCGATCGTCTGAAAATACAGCAATTCGAAAACGTCGCTTTCAAAAACAATCAGAGTAAGTATAACACTTGAGTGAGCGCATAGTTCCCGTCAAGCATAAGTACAAGATATTGTTCAGCATTTTTCGAAAATAAAATCTAGATATAGATTAATTTTTTGATTCTTTCTTATTTACTATATGCACCATATACATCTACATTTCTATATTGTACACCGTATTATATGTGTTTTATAATTTGACCGATAGGGATACATCTACACGAATTGCTCAACAGCAACAATCTTCTTCTATTCATTCTTCTCCGCCACCCAAAACAATTGTGCCTGCTAATCCATTGCATAATCGTCCAATTCCACCATTTCTTCGCGTTTATTCTCAAGCACCATCATCCAATGATATTTTACTACAATGGAATTTATTTTCATTACATGAATTAGAATCATTCGATGGTATGATGACAAAATTATTTAAAGATGAAAATTTAGCTCGTGTACAACTATATGAAACATTTCGATCAGCATTAGCCGCAGAACTTGATCAAAAAATGAAACAAGCTCAAAAAGATGCTGACAACGAAGAAGAAGATGCTGTTACAGCTTTATAATTCAATATTTTATAATATAAAATAGACTAATATCATTGCTTTTCAACTAAATTAAATATGAATGATCAATATTAACTTTTAATTTATTCTGAATATTTTATAAATGAGAATCGATAACATTTTATATTAAAACTAGAAATATAGTGAGAAATAAGTATCTGATGAGACATATTTCATAGAATGTGCTTATAATGCTAAAAATAATTCTGTATTTAGTAATCATGATAGTTAATTATAAATTTTATCTTTAAATTTTTATTAGTATACCACTAGTGTATTTTCCGGTGCTTTTTTGCTCAAATATTTTATATTTTAATTGTAAATCTTTTGTTTGTATATTTACCATTATTATTCTTGATAAAACATATTGTTAAAAAATATAAACATTTACTTTTTCAACATATTAGTTGTGTTAATACTACATCAGTTCATATATGACATTTTTGGTAACTACTTACAATTTTCATATATAAGATGTTTTTTTATGACAATTCTTGATTGTTTACGATTGATGAATTATCTTTTACAAATTCAAGAATGTAAACGTAGATAAATATAAAACAATTCTAAATTGAAGATAATAGTAATAAATTGCATATAGTAGCCGATTATAGTTATATGCTGATGAAATCCTTTAAAAAAACTGAACAATTATTATAAACAACAGAACATATTCAATTGTTTCATAAAATCGAAACAACTTGAGCATAGTAATCATAAACTATCATTACTTCAAATATTGTAAAAACAATGATAAGTAATCTAGCTACTTTAAAATGATAAACCTCCTGTAAAAGATTATTTTCGTAATGCTTTTTCAGGGAGATCAACTTAGAAGTATTTCACAAATATTGTTCAGTACGATAATACGTTATATCGAGTCAAAGTTGAAGATTATAGTGTGTATTGTCATCTCTTTAAATAGATAGAAAAATGGCGATAGAAAAGAAGAACGAAACTCCATTAATTATCGATTAGCGACGATCTACTGAAGGTTTTTAATTTTATGCACTATCAACAAGTTAGTACTCTACGAATGAGGAAATGAGTTGGCCTTAAAATATATCTTTAAGAAATTTATCATTTTTGACAATAATCACATACATCAAGGTAGGTAGTTGAGATCTACAGTCATTTTACTAGTAATGTAGTTTCACTCGATTGTCGTTTTAGATGATTTATATCATCTGAACTTTTGTAACGATTATCGGTATAAAAACCTTATAAAAATGTACTGAAAATTTCATTTTTAAATTATTTAAATCAAACAAAAATTAAAAGTTTATGAATCTAATTTTTTTTATTTCCAATATTAAATCATATATTAGGCAAACGAGAATAAATCAAGAGAGAGAGAGAGAGAGACTCTATTATTGAAATGTAACTTTTATTTGAAAAATAAATAATTGACTCGTCTCTAAAGTGCAATTATCAACTATCAATTTGTTTTTTTATTAAAAGATACGGAACAAACTGTTAAATAAAATAGTAGTTATAAAATGATTTTCTTCTTTTAGATGAATACGAGCAGTAATAGTAGTGGTATTAAAAGACGAAATGCACCACAACAACATTCCAAAATTTCAAAACAAGAACAATCGACTACAGTATTGAAAATAAAAACAAAACCATTCATTCGACCAATAGTTAAAAAAAGGTAATATCTACAATTTTCAAATTTCTTTATTATTTTGTTTTTGTTAAATGAACTTTCCTTTCTAGTATAACAAGTTGTGTATTTGGTATAATTCTTATTGTTAGTACATTGATCGTTTTTGGACCAACACTTTTAAACCATTATGGAGATATTATTTTAACAAAACTTTTATTTCAAACATGGGGTATAAAGAATAAGACGTGTTATTAAATAATTATTTCTAAAATTCTATTCAATTTTGTAGTTCGATATTATCCATGGAGAGACTTATCACGTCCAGAACTGTTCGATCTAACCGCAGCTAATTTTTATCATCAAACAACAAATCCAGACAGTAAACTTGGAATATGGTTAGTAGTACTATTATATGAATATGAGAGACGCACTATATATGTTAGAAAGAGCAGTGCTATATGAGTAGAAAGATATCTCACTAAAAGATAAGAATTTTCGTTCAAGAAGATAGAAGTCTTCGTATAAAAGAAATAGATTTTATCGTCGGTTTTGTGACTGTATAATATGTTTTATTTATTATTTATTAATTTTCATGCATATTATTCCATCGCATATGAAACGTGACATTAATACGCCAACATTAGAAGATAGTTTAAAAATGTATATTGAACATTCAAATATACCACTTATAATTTATCTTCATGGACAAGATGGAACAAGGTATGCACATAACGGTCTGATTCATTCTGATTTTTGTCAAATTAAATTTTTCTTCTCAGAATCTTTTCGAAAACAAAAAAAAATTCCTACAAAATCACTGAAAATTAGATGGAAAGAAACTATTATCATTAAAGCAATAAAATAATTTTTACGCTTGGCGAGCAGTATTGCTAAATGTTCCCCCTATGCACAAGAGGAACAGTCACTCATTTGAAGATTTGACCCTCGTAGAATCCGTTCCTCTAAATGTCTCTCATTTGGAAATGTCTTACTTTCCACCTGTAAAATCTAAAAAAGTTCAAAAATGATCTTGTCTTGTGATGAAAATGACTTTTTGTTTTGTTTTATCACACATAGAGAGAAAAAACGAAGAAAACCGGTGAAATAAAAGGAAAGAATACTGTTATTAGCTCTTTTCCCTCAAAAACTACTGACCCTTCCCATATTAAAATTTTTGTAGTTAGCAACTCTATTTGTGAGAATATTAATATGAGTATAATTTTGCGCGAGACACTTTTTTTTGTTCCATTGCTGAGATCTGAGGTGAAAAAAAATCCAATTCTGGACTTGAAATTAAGTCTCGACTTGAGGATTTTTAAAGTGCAGAAAGTGATCAATCACTTGGAGATTCTTTCTCATAAAACAGATGTTATGACGATTTTTGGATTGAAAAGCACATTTCTCTATTTGTTCAACATAATCCCTTGAGTCCAAAGAGGATTTCTCTTTTTTTAAAAGTTTGAATGACAAGCCAAACCATGACTCTAGTTGATCTTATCTGTGTTTTTTCGTTATATTTATAGAGCTACATATTATCGTGTGAACCATTATCGAGTCATGAGTGATTTTGGAAATCATGTAGTTACACTGGACTATAGAGGTAACAGGTTATTTTGTATACACTTTGGGGAGCATTTATATTGATGTTTGTTTTCTGTTTAGGTTATGGTGATTCATCTGGTACACCAACTGTTCGTGGTGTTGTTGAAGATGTTGTAAATTTATTTAAATTAATTCGAAATATTTTACCAGATAATCCAATAACGATTTGGGGACATTCAATGGGAACTGGGTAAGCGGGCGAGAGCGCGCTTGATGTTTTTGTCTTGAAATTAGATAATATATTAGATGACTAAAGAAACATATCTATATCATAAAATCCATAATAAAACATATCTGTAATCGATTTCTACTCGTTTTATGAATTCATAGAATTTTATTAGGTAGCTGAGCTAGACCGGCATATTCCGGGTCTTGAAACTCTGCTTGTTCGTAAAAGTATTATATTTCTTTTGTTTTGTTTACACTTTTTAGAGTTGCTCTGTTAACAATCGATTATCTTTTGAAAAATCTAAAAGGTGATAGATAGAAATTATTAGATTTCTGATTTACAAATATGTTACTCATATGTGTTTCAGATTACAAACAACCATCTGGTCTTGTGTTGGAAGCACCATTTTATGATACAATAGAAGGTGTTAAATCTTATCCATTATCAAGAGTATGTGTATCTGAAACGGTTTGTTATTAAAAGTAATTTTGTGTTTTGTTTAGATTCTTAAATTGAATCCATTCTTTATGGATGCTGCTATGGATGCTTTGAAAAATGTGTCACTGGATTTTCCAAATCATAAACTGTAAATTGAAGCGAATACATTTGATATATAATAATAATTGATTATTTTTGTGTTTTTTAGTATTTCTACTCTTCCACTTCCAATTGTCATGCTTCATGCCGAAGATGATTTGATTATTCCTTATTATCATGCTACATTGGTATTGTCCAGATATTTTTGCAGACACAGGATGCGTTATTGTCTCTCTTCTTTCTAGATTGAAGATTATGTTAAAATGCATCGTAATTCATCATTACCGCCAGTTAAATTAATAACTATCCCAAAACTAGCCAGATGCGGACATAATCATATTTATTCATATCCTAAGTTTAAACAAGTTGTCAGGTTAGTTCGAATCGTCGTAAATAGTGTTATAACACAAGCTCTTTTAACTGATGAGAAAATAAGCAAGAAATACCTTCTGGATGTGCTGTATCTCATCCGAATATTTTGAGAAAGCTATAAAAAAACATGTTTATTTCACTTTTTTGTGACCGACGATGATTTTGAGCTTTGACCTATACACTACTGAAAACCTGAAGACTGTAGCTACCACTGTTCGGGCAATATCTTGAAATCTGAAGTAGTCTGAGTCGATTTTGAGTGAATTATGAATGGTTTAATTTTCCATGAAATAGTCAGAACTACATATTCCATCTTAAATAGGTTATTACTAGATTTTTGAATTTGAAAACAAACATTGCAACGTTACTCAACACAGTCAATAACTTATATTGCTATTCATTTCTGAGGTTTCCGAAGGCGTTTTTCATGAGTTTCGGGACTTTCCAGAAAATTCCTCTGACACCCGAATAATAAATAACAGGCTTCAGGTTCTTAGTAGTGTGTAGGTCAACGCTCGGTGATTCGAAATCATCTTTGGTCAAAAAAAAAGTGAAATAAAAACATTTTTTTTTGCAGCTTTCTCAAAATATTCGGATGAGATGCATCACCTACTTCCAGCTAGTATTTTTTGCTTCTTTTCTCATCATTTCATTACTTCAAGTCTCCTCTGTCGAGTGGTTAAAATCATAATTCTCTATTTGCCGTCGTTCAGAAGTTATTAAAAAAAGCTTGTGTTGACTTCGTATTCGGAAACGGATAGTAGCTTGGAGACGAAGGTGTAAGCTCAAACTGATGAATGTTTTTTATTGCTATTTTAGTGATTTTTCATTTTTGAAACGTGAACCACTACCCACAACATGATTATGATAACTTGGGGACTCTTTTACATATATCTGTATGTTTTATGTTTTTTTTTACTTAAATATTTAGTTGTGTGTTCAATTTGTGATAATAAATTTGTCTGATTTTTCTCTAAAATAATATATGTGATTCAGTTTCTTTTGTAAAATTTATACTGTTTATAATTCTACAAGACATTTTTTGTACATTTAATTTACAATATTTTTTTGTATAATACTCGTTTTAAATACTTTATGTTTAAAAAAAATGTCCAATATTATCTCACTATATGACTCTACGCATGATACTAAAAACAGATGAGAAAGTTTCTCCAGGCTTTTTGTTAATTGTTATCAACTTCAATTTATTGTTGTTTCTAGATTTGAAAAAGCCGTACACCGAAAAAGGTAATTATTATCATACATATTTTATATGAAATTTAATAAATTGTGTTCTTTTATTATAGATGTCATCTAAAGAAGTAGTTATAGTTAAAAATCAATCCTTGTTTAATCAATCAATAGTAAAGTTAATATCTATAACTTCAACTCAACGATGGTCAAAAGCCGGGTATGTGAACGTCTTAACAACTGCTTCTATATAGATCTTTTGCAAATTTATTTGGGTTTCAACAAACATTTGTCTAAAACTCATTTTCATCTTAGCAATACTCGATTCAATAGGAGGATTAATCTGTGTATTGAATTGAATGAAATTGTAGAAAAAACATACTTAAAAAATAGCGATAATAATTACGTATTTTATCGTTTTCCTACTTATTTGAATCCAGTTAATTTGTTTTTTGTCTGTATTTTAATATTTTTTAAAAATATCACGATAATCCACGCTTATATCACAAGACTTGAGATTGCGTTAAAAACACTATAATAATCAGTACGCGTTATCGCGATATTCATCTGTATCGTTATAAACAGTAAGATATCACGAAATTGATGGATATCGCAATACATCCCGATAAAAAAGCATTACGATTTATTTAACTATTTCCTTTATTCCGATATTTCTACCGTTTAACGCGCTACGAACCAATATCGCGATGTTGTTCGATAAATATTTATCGCGGCCGAACTGAACACTGTTTTGCATCGTGATAAATCTAGAGATGGTAATAACTTACATCACGATCTATCGGAATCATCTGATAGATCGTGACGTAGAAGATATCGCGATATGTACTATTATCAACGCCTTTATGACGATATATCGGCGATTGTTCGTAAAAATCCTCAAGGGTAGTGAGAGTCCTGAGTCTAAGTAAACTACACAAATGAATAAAAACAGAGGTTATCGATCATTCTACATCTTGTCGTAATGTGTATTTCTCAAATAGAAGTAAAGGAACCTAGTGGAAGCCTATTTTTTGAAAAACAAGCGAAATATCTGCATAAATGAAAAGCTCATCTTGCGCCTAAAATCAATTACATGAAAATTTTACATACGTTTAGAAAAGTTTCTCTACCATATAACATCTGACATTGTTGCAAAACAGTTTTGTGTAGAACATCCGATTCTAGAAATTTGCGGATGATTCCACGAGAAAAGCGAAAGTATTTATTATCTTAGCTAAAAAATAACTTTTTCTTGACGTTTTGATGTGATTTTTAATGAATTTTAGGCGCAGAATGAGCTTTTCATTTATGCAGATATTTCGCTTGTTTTTCAAAAAATAGATTTTCATGAAGTTCCTTTACTTCTATTAGAAAAATACATATTACGACAAGATGCAGAATGATCGGTAACTTCTATTTTTATTCATTTGTATGGTTTACTTAGACTCATGTGATATGAGGATTCTCACTAAAATCTAGTTGTTACAACTAAAAATCGATTATATTATTATCATTTTGTACGACGCACGATCCGTTCAGATATCAACAAGAGAAACCATCTGATGGTGATAATTTGAACTGTTTTCATAAATCTCTATCTCATCGTGCTCTCATAGCAAAAAATTCAGGATTCTATCATTTTTCTTATCAAGCGTCATTTAAGCTATTGTAGAGCAATACATTATATTTTGAAATAAATATAGTTACTTAGTATAATCAAATGGTAATTTGGCCAGAAAACCCTTTTATTTACTATGTAGGGATTTAAAATAGTTTTAAAGTAAAACGATGTCATTCGGGTACGCATGTTAACTGTTTTTTACGCATTACTATCCAGACTTGTTTTAACAATACACACTTTTACACGCAAAGAAAGATCTCTAAAAGTTATGCTCCTTTTTTAGTGCCTAGGATTCTATACGAATGAATCATCAGTTATTTTTTTGGTAGAGATTGCAAATTAATGTATAATTGATCGATGATTTTTAATTTTTTTATATTGTTGCAATTTGTGATATATTAAATTAATTTTTTGTTTTAGCACAATTGTTTTATTGATACTGGGCTCACTTGTTGGTATCTATCTGTTAATTTCAATTTTATTTCCATTATTACTCATCATTTACCCTCGAATAATGAACAGAATCGTTTTTGCCAATTTTCGTATGTGTTCAAGAGTTTAACTTTATTATTTCTTATCATTCTCTTCGCTTTTTTCCAGTTACAACATTCAATAATCTTCGACGACCAGAAAATTTGGGACTCGAACGAGTTTATAATTTTTATTTGGATGTTGAACCGGGTGTCAGATTGGGCATATGGTCTGATAAACGAAAGAAAATTTTTTATAATCAACTTATTGTTAAATTTTTTCTTTTTTTAAGGCATTTTCGTTCGCCATTAGTACAAGATCAAGATTTTATCGATGATGATGATTATTTTTCCAAACATTTTCTATCTCAAACGGATGAAAATGGACAATTAATACCGGTTATACTTTATATGCATGGAAATGCTTTCGATAGGTAAGGTTGAATGATAATATTGACACATCGAGAATTGATAAACAAAATATTTTAAATGAGATCAGATTCAATATATACCTTAATATTTTTATTTTAGAGCTCAAAGTAGTCGTCGTGAACTTTGTAGTCGATTACGAGACGAATTGAAGTATCATGTATTTGCATTTGATTATCGAGGTTAATTTTATGTGAAATTTTATTTAATACAATACATCATACAAATTATTTCATTTTGTAGGCTATGGTGATTCGACTAGTCATCCATCTGAACGTGGTTTATTGAAAGATTCTCGTACAATTTATGATTTTTTATATCAATTTCATAATGGTCGTCAACGAATTTATTTACATGGACATTCTTTAGGATCAGCTGTAGCTTGTCAATTAGCAGCACGTTTATCAGATGATGAAAGTATGTAGTAATAATAAATGTTAACTAATAAATGATATTTATCTTTTTTCTTTAGGTGCATCGTTAGCAGGTATTGTTATGGAGGCTCCTTTTATCAACATTCAAGACGCATTACAAACCCATTGGGCAGCATTAGTTCGTAGTTAATTGATGTATATTTCTCATTATGAATTATTCTATTTTATTATAGCCATTTCGTTGGCAACCGTGGTTTTATTATTTAACAAATCGTGCATTAAAACGAAGTGCATTAAAATTTGATACAAAATTTCATTTAAGTAGTGTCAATTGTCCCGTGATTATTTTACACGCTGATGATGATTGGATTGTACCCTATAGACATGGTGTACATGTAAATTTAATATACTGATCATATTTTAATTATGTATTATCTAATTTATTTTCTAGTTAGTACAAACTGGGATAGCTATTCGTCAAGAAAATCGTAAAAATTCAAAATTACCAAAATTTAAAATTGACATGATATCATTTCATAAACAAGGTTATGGACATCGACTCATTTATACAGCACCCAATTTGATACAATCATTAAAGTATATAATCATTTATCGACTTCGACTCTAATAAAATGTTTTATATTTATTTTAGACGACTTACATACGATGAAGATCTTTCAGAAGAAACATAGACGAAAACAATAATTTATTTTTTATACTAAGGCAAAGTCCGTCCTTTCTAATTACGAACAACATGGATACGTGATCTGTTATTTTTTTATCGTTTTTTACTCACAACATTGTCGTTGTTATTTTATATATAAATATTTGTTTATATACTAAAATAGAGTCTTGCGTAAATGATGTACTTGAAAAGTACAGAAAGTACAAGTACAAGTATCTATGCTCTGCTTCAGATCCTATGTGTTCTTTCTTCTTCCACACTTTTGGTCGATTTTTTCATTCACCGTTCTCTCTCATTTGGAGTCGCAGAAGGTTGGGAGAAAAACTGGTAGACAATGCTTATACTGAATGTGGCACAATCGAAAGTATTTTTTTGATATCACTTTCAGTCATCGTGTAATCGTTTTCGAGAAAGTGGTGTTTGATGTTTGGAAATTTTTCTAATACGAGATAATTGGTACGTGACAAGTATCAGTTTGCGAACAGTGCAAATTATTTGACTGAATCATATTTCATTTTAAGCTAAATGAGTCAGTGTTATTAACACTACGGTTACACTACGCAGATAATCACGATTATCTTTAATCGTGATCGTTAGTCGTGTTTAAACTAGTAGTGTAACCGCTACTTTACTCACGATTATTTTGAAAATCATGAGTAAAGATAATCATGTTCGGAAGATGATTATTTTTAATCGTGAGTAACTTTAACCGTCTCTATCAAAAAGAAGATCATGATAGCGGCGCTTGCATATGACTGCTCAACTGCCATAACTAATCAGTCTGAATTCTGTTTTGTCTACTAAAGAATTTTTCTGGCATTACTATACTCTGTTACACATTAATAAATAATTAAGTAATAATTTTATAATAATAATTTTTGTTGTTAAAAATGACTACGCAGAGTTACAAGAATAAAACGAAGGCAAAAAGATCTTGGTGGTCTGAGAACGAAACAAACTTGCTGCTAAATTTGTTAAAAGATGAAATGATATCGAATGAAATAGTAAATCATCGGAATCGTTGCACCTGAAAAAAAGTACAAGAAGGTTGATTAAGTAGTCGGTGTCAACAGATCTATTGATCAGATCAAAGAGTGTTACTGTATTCATGTTAACTCTGCCAACACAAAAATGAGTTTTCTCCTGCGTACTAAGTATTTATAGTTATGGCTATCACGAATTAAATCACGATTATCTTTTTAAACGTGTAGTGCGATTAACACAATTCTGTTCATCGTGATTAAATATCGTTAATCATGATCAAAAAAAATTGCGGTTACACTTGAAAATGTTTAATCGCGATTACCTTTTAATCACGATTAAAGATAATCGTGATTATTTGGGTAGTGTAAGCATCTAGTCGTAATGTTATCTTATAGATAATGAACCTACTCTATCCTTTTTCTTCAGTGTTTTCGGTTATCTCTGATCGTACAGATTTGAGAAAAAGATGATTCGAAAGTAGAAGAATCGTGCATGACACAAGTGAAGTTAGTTTTCGGATATTTGATTTAGCTATGCTATAATTAGTGCCACAAACTGAGTATAGTTTTCAGAAAACTATCGTTTCTCCTATGAGATATTAATCGTCACGTGATATCCTTCATAGTGAATATAGGCTATAGTGCTTAATATGATGAAAGCTATAGCAGAATGCATAATGAATCAGCTGATATGATAACGTGAATAATGTGTTGTAGAAGATAAATGGAGGTGAATAAAATTCGAAACATATTTTTGTTGCTAAAGGAGAAAACATCTATAGCAGGTTACTAAGCGTTCCACTGTGCTGCTATAGGTAGAAGCTAGCTACTCCCATTCGCGTTTCACCCAGTCGGCTTCCAATCTTCATAGAATGCAGTTGGCATCTAGTTAACAGCTTGTATACTTCGCGAATTAAGTTTTTAAAAATTTTTTATTATCTAAGAACTGCTATGAGCATATCACCAGGTGCTGTTTTTCGCGCTGATCATGAATCCAAATAAATAAAAATAAAAATTTCAATGGAAAAATTTAATTTAAAATTTTTGACCTAGAAATTTTTTTAAAAAATCTAAAATTTACACTATTTGATAGAAAATTAAATTCTCTACAAAATGCCTCGTTTTTTTCGACAATTTTGACTTTAGGAACAGAACTTATGCCTTTTCGATGTTTCAAGGTTCCAGTCAAGTTTAAAAGCTTGAAAAGAATTTTTCAACTTTATTTTTCACATAAATCGATAGAATATCACCAAATCTATGGCAAATATAAAAATCAAGTTTTTTTGGAGAACATTAAGTGCTTGAAAATTCACTGACAAAAAGTGTGTCACACCGTCACATTTATTTATTGACATTTATAAGCGAGGGAAAGGCTTTGAAAGAACATTTTTTTAAATATTGGATAGCTCGTAAGCTTCTCTAAGATGTTCGCTCTAGACAGTTTCGATTTGCTCAAGCAATTTCGCCGGAAACCAGCGTTTAATTAGATGTACTCGCAATGTCACGTCCGTCACGCACCGAATATTTCTTCCCAAAGCCGTAAATGTTACTCAGTCGGCTTAACCCGAGTGAAATTCATCTTATAACTCTATCAGCCAGTGTAGATTAATGCAGAATGTAGGACTAATAGACCGAATGACAGTATGTAACGGCTTAGCGTTCGATGGAGAAAGGAACATAATCAGAAGTGATTGCTATGCAAATATTTCTATCTCTCTCTACACTTTTGAGTCATTTTTTCATCCAATCGCTCTCCATCATTTGGTATCGTAAAAGATTCAGACAAAGAATGACAAACAGTACTCATACTAAATGTGGCACATCTGAAGTTATTTTTTTCCGATATCACCTACAGTTATTATGTAAAGGTGAAGACTCATGCGTATCTGAAGTAGATTAATATCAGTCGAGTAAATCATTACATTCAGTGCCCATAGGATCCTTATTAATGCAGAGTATGAATAAGAACCTAGGAAAACTAAGTGTCCCAAATTAAATTTCTTCACAGTGCGCAGTTAGCATCTAGTTTTTACTTCTCATTTAAATAAGATTTCAAGTGTTCTCAATTTATTCTCGAAAATTCTTGCTGCTGAGATTGGCATGTCGTCGTGCGCAAAAATTCATGTGTACCACTCTAATGGGTAAGATATCTGTGCGCAATATTCTTCGTGCGTAAAATTCCCATGCACAATGTTCCGTGCGTAACATTGTTCGTGTGCGCCGATCCGAAACCAGTGATGAATGCATTTAAAGGGTGGCCCAGAAGTCCTGACCCGATTTGAATAACAAATTTTTCTATAGTGAAACAAGTGGTTGTAAATTTGTCTCTATGAAGAAACGATGCAGTAAAAAACGCTCTACAAGATGACTATTGATCGCCCCTGTTAGCTCATCTAGTAAAAATGTTATAGGCTTAGAAATGTGCTTCACAAAAAAGAAAAATCAACCGTAAACCTGGTCCATATGGTGGTGCTTTCAGTAAAAGTCCCATAACTTCATCAAAACAAAATGTTTTTCGATTGGGTTTGTTTTGCTTTGATCAGAAATGATTGCTCTTCTCTACCTAGTTGCAACATCAAAACTTCGATCACGTTTTCCGTTTCTTGCTGGGTACACTGTTGGAAACGGGGTTGTCGATTTTTGACATA